GAAATTTAGACTCCTCTGCCCACCAATACTTTCCTATGGAATTGTTGTTATATAATTTTCCCCAAAACTTCGCACTGCCATGGTTGGATGAATACTAGACAATCCAGAAACTAAACTAAAACCAAGGGGAGCCAAAATATAATAATAAAAAGGCGCAGTCATACAGTGTTCATATCAGGACTGGTGTATTTTTTTTTCTTTTTCTTAATTGATTCGATTAGACATGACGTATAACGAAACGTTCTTCTAAAATAATTGCTATCTAAAATGTTCACTGTGTGATGCACACATCTTAGAACTGTATCTAAAATAATTTCAAATGATTTAAATATTTAAGCAGAGTTCTACTGTTTATTACCAACATTCAAAAAAAATGTTAATCTGCGAATTAAATAATCATCAAACGGTTGCTAATTCACTTGATGTGCGTCATACGCATCCCATATAAAGACGAATGATAAAAGGATAATTTCACGCTATCGAAAAATTCAAATTTCCATAAAAAATGTGAATTATAATTTTGTTCGTGACTTATGGTTAGAGTAATAATTGAAAATGAAATTCGCCGTATATATTCCAAGAGGTCGGTGCTTAGCTTTAGTGTTTTTCATAACGTTGATCCTTTTCCATCAATACAAAATTGATTGGCAAAAAAAAATTGGTATAAAAATGAGTTGGAAATTTCATTCAATTATTCTGGTTTTATTGATAAGCCATTGTGGTGCTGATTACGGACAATGGGGCGGTAAAATTGAAGCAATCCAGTCAAATACATTTTTCAAAAAAAAAATCATTAAATTTCAGCCAATGTGGCAGATAAACTTAAGGGAAATGGATTTAAACAGGATCCAGTTCATTTTGGGTGCATCTACAATGATCGGTATAAAGTAACTATGCAAGTATGATAACAAAAAATAATACGTGAAAATCCAAAATTTCGATAGAATGACCGAATTTGATGTGGTGAAGTGTAACGACAAAAAGGGAATGTTATCACTAAGTGAAAAGCTGAACAACGGAAGAGATTTATCATTGTTCTTCTTAGGCACCGGTAACACCATTTCTAGAAAAGGTATAAAACGCTGTTCCATACACAAAAAGTATGGCAATATTTAATGCTTTCTATTTCGTGACTATTTTCAGATGACCGATTCATCGGCTCCTTAGGTGAGAGCAAACCCTAATTGACCAAGACTTGATGTACACTTACGATTTTATATTCTCTTTCCAGAATGGTTCATCCACTCAGGTACAAACATATGCTATATTGCATATGCCTTTGAAAATTATGAAGCATCAATGTTCAATTTGATTTTTTACATCAAACGAATATTGGAAACAAATCGAGTTGAATATGTTGCACGGGAGGCACTTAATTTGGTGTTGAATGTTCGAAAGAAATGTTCGGAAACAAAATCAAAACAGTGTTTTAAGAATATGTCACAGTTAACGGTGTTGGGTTTCTCATTGGGCGCGCATATCGGCGCATATGCATGCCGGTATTTTTTCGAAGCAACCAACGAAAAAGCTAGAAGATTGATAGGTAATCGACATTTCTTGCACATTTTGAAATGAGATTTTTACTGGAAAATTTAAATAGGTCTAGACCCGGCTGCTATCAGCTTTTTTGTCGACCCGGACAAGAGCTATATTCAAAGTGGCGATGCTGATTACGTTCAAATTATTCATACAAGTTATCTGGGCACACAAAATAAAAAAGGTAAGTCATTTACACACATTTTTTGTGTATTCAAATTTCAACGATTTCTATCCTTCAAGGTGATCATGACATTTACATCAATTCTGATAATTGGGGATCACATAATAACCACAGACTGGCTGTTGACATAAATATGCTTATAGCAGCAAGAAAACTGGTTATTGTTGCATCAAAAACTGGAAATAGTAAAATCATCAATTTACAGAAGAATATGAGTCCCGATCGTGTAATACTTGGTCCAAATGATTGTTTGGTCGGCGTATACAGTGAAGCTCATAGATTCTGGAGTTGACGATTTAAGGGGGGGGTAATTTGAGAAAATCTGAAGGGGGGTAATTTTGAAAGTCCATTCTATCCAGTGTAAATTTGCTTTCGGAAAAAAAGTTGAGACCGAAAAAAAATTTGAAATTTTTATTATGACATATTCCAGTAATCACTAATATTATTACATTATTTTATTAAAATTAAAGATACAAGTTTTACAAATACAATTAGAGATACAAGACTCGAGGTGAGTTCGCAATGAATTTAAATTCTTTGGAGTAATCATATCAATCGCCGATAATAATTTGATTCGAAAATGCAGATGTGCAAAAACTGAGACATAAACAATATAGTTGATCGAACTTAATCAATTAAATAATCAAACAGTTGACCGGACTTAATTGTTTTGTCTACGGCGAATAAATAAATTTTGTTTAGTCGGACATTCGAATATGAAAATTGAATTTTTGAAAAACCTCAGCAAATCGGAATAATTTTTGCTCGAAAATAAAAATGGGAGTGGGTACTTTCAAAATCACAGAGGGGGTAAATTCGTTGCTCAGGGGGGGGGTATTTTGTACCCTGGACCCCCTGGTCAGAATCTATGGTGAAGCTCGACACATAGACGATTTGCCCATATGTGAAGAAGATCGACCAACGTATGAAATTGATTTTCCAAACAAGTCGATGAAATTTTATTGATTGCCGAACACATTTCCCTCGAGCTTTCTTATTTCTTACATCGTTGAACGTATTTTTTTCAATTTTAACTAAAATTCGCCATTACACCTTCGAAGTTTTAATAACTGCAAATAAATTTAAATTCATTCATATCAATTTTTAATAATTATTTCAAAATTTCAAGCAATATTGAAATGGTAATGATCAATAAATAAAAATGAAAATTTTATAAAAATGTGTTTCATTTCAAAAGTCATTTGCAAATATGTGAAGATCGACGACGAATAATTATAACCAATATTTTATTATTACTTTCGAAGAAGCCACAAAAAGTGGGATGACATGAAATCCATCAAAACATGTTGTCCCAGTTGTCGTTTGTTGATGACTTCATCTGAACCAATAAAAGCGAACGTTTTTTCGATTCACGTCACATTTTGAATTTCTTTTCATATCGAATGACTGACTAATTAAAGAATTGACGTGAGCGAGCTTATGGTTAAAACATTTTGTGAACGAGTCCATTTTCCTCAAATATCTCGAGTATGTTGAATGTATTAATTTCTTTTATAAAAAAGTTCAGAATATATTCAATGAAGAATGAATGTTTAGCTTCAGTCATGAAAGAAACTACCACGCGTTAACTCGAAATGAGAAAAAACCATCAATAAGCAAAGTGAAGATGATCTGCAGTATTCAAACAATAATTTTCGTTGTATTGTTATGTGGTGCCTGTGGTGCCTGTGGTGCTGATCTGACACAATTGAGTACAAGATTAAAATAAAGTAATGCTTTTAGATTCATAGACGATTGTTTCTCTTAATTAGACGATCTGGTGAAAAATTTGCATGCAGAACGTGAAAATGATGATTTTAGAGGTAATGATCCTGCTGTATTTGCGTGTATATACGAGAAAAGGTATTCAAATTTCTTCTTCCAAAGCCGAATTTCATTGTTGGTACAAAAAAACGGTTTTTTTCTATAGCATGACCGAATTCGCCGTGGCAAAAAGTAACAATAAAATTAGAATGTCGATGATGATTGACAAATTAAGCAATGGAAGGGATCTATCACTTTTTTTCGTTGGCAGCGGCAACAACGTTACTGAAAAAGGTTGCACATTAATTTTCAAAACACTTCTAAAATGATGAAAATTGACTTTTTTATTCAGACAGCAGATTTAAAATATCCAAAGGTGTGTAACAAATTGTTACTAACAATACGGAAGGTTACAATTTTAAATTAATAATAAATTCTCAATCATTTCAAGAATGGTATATTAAATCTGGCACAAACATATGTTACATTGCATACGCATTTGAAAAATACAAGGCCACCGTAATGAATGCATATTTTTACTTGAAAAAAGTGTACACAACGAAGCGCATCGAATTTGTGGCCAAAACGGCATATGACTTCGTGTTGAATATTCGAAATAAATGCTTGAAATCAAAAGCTAAGGGATGTATTCAGCATATGTCACAGATAACTGTGATCGGATATAGTCTGGGTGCAATTATAGCGCCATATTTTTGCAGGCATATATTTGAAGAAACTGGACAAAAAGCTAAAAAATTTATCGGTATGATTGTTTTAAGTGTTATCACAACAACAATAATTGTGTTCCATCATACTCGTGAATAGGTTTGGATCCAGCAGCAATATATTGGGCAAATGCAAACGATTACATTAAAAGTGGCGATGCTGATTATGTTCAAGTAGTGCATACTTCATATCTTGGGACGCAATTACAAAGGGGAGATAGGTATGACTTTCCAACTTTAATGTATTATCCCATTAATAGGTGTTGTTTTCATTCCAAAAACAGTGATATCTACATTAAATCTGATAACTGGGATACACAAATGAGCCATAAATTAGCAGTAGATTTGCATGAACTTATTTCTGCGAAGAAGCTGGTTCTGATTGCAGCAGAAAATGGAACTGGCAGATCTATCAACTTACAAGAAAGCTTACATGTTAATCCAGACCTTATACAAATCGCGGATACCGAGTGTATGGTCGGGGTTTACTGTGAAGGATGTAACAAAAGAAAACATGGACAAATTTATAACATTTCATTGGTGACCAAATCACTCAAGACATATTTTTGAAAAATTATTGAGAGGATCGCCTTTTTAGGTCAACTCTGAGATTGTTTTTCCAATGCCATAATATGGAAAAAATATATGGATTTTTTTACGGTAAATAAAAATATATGGACTCTTTAACACTTGAATCGTTGATGCAAACACAATGAAGAAATAGCGATAATTTTGAATTTGTGTAGCGAAAATATCCATCATTTGAGTCTTAAGCAGACATTATCGTTTTAATGTGTTATTTTCTACAACTCTCTCGTATTCATGTACAAAAGAATAGTAGGCTATGATATTCCTACTCGGTGTTACACACATCACATGAATTAAATAGCGCATATGAATAGCGTATATGAAATAGCAGCCGCTATATGCATAGCTCGATTCTAATGTTTGATTTTAAGAGATAAACACCACAAAAAAGTTCAAAAAAAAAACAAGTCTCGGAGTTGACCCAAAATCATCAGCCCTAATATATTTTTGTTTTTCAATCGATTATTATTATTCATTTGAATGTTCTTAAATGAGCCAATACGACGTTCCATTCATTTCAATATCGTTGGTAGATTTCTTTTTAATGTTTAGATTTTAATTTTCAACATTTCAATATTGTTTACAAGCTGATATGGTCCCATATATTATTTGAATCAGTTGTTGACATCGTTCTTTGAAATTACAATATATTGAATTTAATTACAGCTTTTAACGTTATTTTAGGTTTTGATAAAAAACAAAACTGCCATTGTTATACATTTTTCGTTTTCAAAAATAAATTGAAAAAAAAAAACCGTTTCTTACCTCAATCGCAAATGAATTTAAAAAACTAAACACAGTGTTTCACTTAGATAAAATGATTAAGAACCATTTCACTAATAAGATAAATTGACAATATATAATTTTGTCATGCATAACTGCAAGTTGCCAATCAGAGCGTAAAATAAGGATTTGCCTTAACTGATGTCGCGCGCAGCACAAAATTTTAAATTTATTTTGTCGTTAAATGATTATTTTGGTTTTTTCTTTTTTTTTGAAATTCTTGACTACCGAAATCAAAATTCTTGAGTATCGAAATGAAATCTTGACTACCGGTTTTCTGCGAAAAAATGGCTTATCTTACGCTCTCTTGCCAATGAAAAATAGAAAGAGTTGATTTTTTCACACTAGAGGTGCGTGTGCACATAGTAGACATCGCACTCACAAACTGTGTGTGATGCACACAATACTTTTATTTTCAATGTGCACACACATTTACATAGAAATTTGACATTTCAAATATCAGTTTTTAATTTTTCGACAACTGTCAAACTTTTATGTGTGTGCACATTGAAAATAAAAGCATTGTGTGCATCGCCCACAGTTTGTGAAAGTGAATTTTACTATGGGCGCGCACCTCCAGTGTGAAAAATACAACTCTGAAAATAGACAACAAAGAAAAATGATTCAAAGCCAGCGGTCTCATAATTTTTATTTTTCAAGTAGGGACTATAATTTTCAATTGCACTTATTGTATAGAAGGATCCGTTGAAGAATTTAAAACTTGTCATTATATATGAATAAGTAGGTTTCAAGAAATGCGTCCAACGTTGCATGAACATGTTCGAACGTCTCAAGTTGTTTTGCTCAGACTCGAAGTCGCCGAGTCCACTTCCGTAATAAGCATATAAATTGAATTACATTTGCTCACAATACTTCAGTGATATTCATTGAGCTTTAATCGAAAGACTCGCTTCGAAAATGGTTTCTTTAAGAATTCTTTTCATTTTAATCATTTCATATACAACAATTACCAGTCATCGATTAGATGAAGTTTCAAAGTTGGTGCAGGACGTGATTGAAAATGAGGGAGTTGCTTCGGTTATATTAGCAAAAACATGTTGGCCAAAACTCGATGAATTTAATTTAGTCAAAGATTCATCATTTCCAATTCAAATAATCAAATCCAATTCGTCGATTGAAAAATCATTCGCCGATAACACCAATAAGCAATGGTTTTTTGTCGATGCAAACTGCAGCGATACTTCAGAGTTTTTATCAATTATAAATGAAACATTTTTCGCTCATCCATATCGATGGATCATTATTGATGCTGTCAACGATACCATTCAACATCGACCTTTTTTGCCGGGAAGTAACATAATTATAGCCAATAAAGACTCCAATTCGAAACAATACATTTTGAAACAAGGTAAGTATACTGTCAATATTTAACTGTGTCGAAATCTAATACAGCGAATCTTGACCAGTTTACAAAATTGGAAAAGAGACGTCTTTAATCTATGAAAATTTCGGGACTTGGAACATTGAAAAGGGAATCGTCGATCTACGTGTAACTCGAGTACTCTCTCGACGACGTCGTAATTTGAATGGTTATCGACTGATTGCTCCGATGGTTTTCACAAAAAAAGGATCCGAAAATTTCACCGACCTTGATGATTATCAGTTTGTATCAGTGTATAACATCAGTGTGGCCTTAGTGTTTAACTTTTTTGTGTTTTTTTAGTCATAATAAGGTGGATAGCACTTCAAAATTGTCGTATCAATTAACAAAATATTGGGTCGAATCGATAAATGCGACGATAGAAGGTGATGTCCATCGAACATGGGGCTACAGAGACAAAAAGACCGGTGTGATTTCAGGAATGGTTGGTCAATTAGAGCGAAAGGAAGCCGATATTGGCGGTTTGCAAACTCGAGTTTTTCTTCTCGCATAATAAAAACTTTGTCTAATTTTTGTTTTTTTCAGGAACAATAATTTTCATGACGATTGAACGGCTGGAGTATCTTGACTATCTTTCAATGACCATCCCTTCGAAGATTGCTTTTATTTTGCGTGCACCACCATTGTCATACATTTCTAACATCGTCTGTCCTTGTTTCGCATTAATTTTAATTTTTTTTTATTGATTAAAGTTTTGTTTTTCAGTACTATCTCCCTTTTTCCGGAACTGTTTGGCTTTGCTCAATTTCATTGGTGGTTTTGTGTACAATTTTCATTGCATTCACATTGAAATTGAGTTGGTGTCGCGATGAGGGCACAGAACACTTGAGAGCATCCGACTATTTTCTATTTGCCATTGCATCATCGTGTCAAATGGGCAATGATATTTTGACAACGATTTTATCCGCCAGAATTTCGATGGTAATTTTAACAGTTTTCCTTATATTTCTAAGATTTCCCGAATAATTTTATATCGATTCGTTTGCAGTTTGTCTTTTTCGTTGCACTATTATTCATTTATACGTCGTTCACTGCAATGATCGTTGCATTATTGCAATCCACTACACAATCGATCAAAAGTGTGGCTGATTTGCAAAATCCAGCGATTGGAATTGGCGTTCAGGATAATGTATATATCTATATATATTGAAACCGTTGCCGTCAATGGTGTAACTATTATCTAGTTTTGCAGGTATATAATCGACATTATTTTGCTGCACAAACGGAACCGTCTCGTAAAAAACTCTATGAAACAAAAGTGACACCGCAAAATAACCCAGAAGCTTTTATGAATTTATCCCACGGCATAAGCCGAATGAGAGAAGGAATGTTCGCTTTTCATGTGGTTACTGCACAGGTATTGTAAGTTTTTTTTAATGACTTTCGGCAAACTACTCATTCCAGTTGAACAGATTGAGTTCAATTGACTGAATTTGGTTCTTCATTGGACTGAATCCTTTTACAAATTGTTTATAAAAACTGCATACCAATGATCGGGAATGCACTTTCGATATGTTATGCAAAGCATATGGCTGAAAAAGACCTGATGTCATTTGTATAATGTATTCTATTGTATTTCAAACAGGGATACGATGAAATTGAAAGAACTTTCTATGAGAATGAGAAGTGTGGCCTGGTTGAAATATCATACTTGGGTAACGTTGATACTTGGACTGTAGCTCAAAAGCAATCACCATACAAAGAAATTCTTAAGGTCAAGTAAGAAACTACGTTTGAAATTCATTCATCCGAATAACTGCTTTCACATTAATTTACATAGCATTATGAAGATCAGAGAGCATGGAATTCAAACCAGAGAACAATTGAGAATTTATACGACGCGTCCAAAATGTGATGGGAAAAATTTCGGCAGCGTACGATTGGCCGATTGCCATTGGGCTGTACTTATATTCGTTTATGGATGCATCATTTCATTTCTTTTATTTTGCATTGAGAAATTCATTAAAGAAACAACAAAAATGAGAAAGATACAATGCTTGATGGAAAATAACACGATTCATTTTTTGAAATGTAACTTCATGCATAAATCGAAATAAACGTAAATGGCATTTTGTGCCCTGATTGATAGTGACATTTTAGTGTATATTTTTGTTCGCATGATTTTTGTTCTCTTCCCACAGAAAAAGTAAATCCAAATTTATGTCTTTGAGAATGGACTGGTTTTAATTTTTAGTGATGTGATATCACCAATATTTGAATGAATGCCGATGGGAAAAAAGGCCCACCGATTTTCAAAATGCAAAATTCTTTGTGAAATTGAATTTTTTCCTGGTTGCGATAATTGGATGGCAAATCAAATGAAATTCTTTTCCTCGAATTGCGATGAGGTGTTTTTCAATTAGAAATTCGCACATCACAAAATACGTACTCGGGTTACTTCTGAAGTTGACGATCCAGGAGGGGATAATTTCAAAATTTTCCCAAAATCTAAAGGGATAAGTAGGTAAGCATTTGCCATATTCACTCATATCGGTAATGTTTGAAAAGTAAGCGACTTCCGACCTCAAATTATATGTTTCTTTCTGGTTTTAATACGCGAAGATTTAAGACATAACTAAAGTTTCGATAATTCAAAGTAAATTGCCATATTATATCATACTTCTAAAGTATGGGTTGTTGATCTTATCAATTGTTTCCATTCGCAAATCCAAGAAGTAAATTCATTTTTGAAGAAATCATATGGAATTATCATTGCATTTTTCAAACGACAACCATTAATAATTGAAAACCAATGCTATCTAATAACATATTTCGTTGGATATTTACTTCAAAAAAAAGAAAAATGTTAGTTAATTTCAAGAAAAATCGCGGATCCACCCAACCTTACCTGAAATTAAACCTTTTGCTTTATATTGTTGTTTGAAGTAAAGCTCCATGGTTATTTAAGCTGAAAAAAGATATAAATTGAAAAGTCTTCGCATAGTTTTCTTTAAACTGTATCTTGTGATTGACCTAAAAAGAAATCCGCCTATAAATTCGATATGATTTTACTTAAGTTTTTAATATTTTTCATGGTAATTTTCATAAGACCATTGACAATACATAGTCATCGAGTTGAAGATCTATCAAAATTGGTGAAAGACATAATAGAAAATGAACAAGTGCCATCAATTTTATGGGCTAAAATGTGTTGGCCAAAAATGGAAGCGTTTAATTTTATTAAGCGTGTGTCAATTCAAATGCAAATTGTAGAATCAAAGGCGCCAATACGTTTGCCAACTGATGAATACACAAATAAACAATGGTTCTTCATTGATATGAACTGCGAACATGGAGATAATTATTTGTCGAATGTGGAGAATAAATATTTCGCACACCCATATCGATGGATAATTGCTGACGCCACGGAAAAGGTGATAAAAAATCTGTCATTTTTACCAAATAGCAACATTATTCTGGCGAATTGGGATAACAATTCAGAACGGATCATTTTAAAACAAGGTTATTGTGTATCTTATATTATCTCTGGAAGAAACTCTCTTAATATTTAATGATAATTTTGTATAAAACAGTTTATAAAGTTGCAATAGGAATGCCATTAATTTATGAAGATTTCGGTTTGTGGACAAAAAAAGATGGTCTGATCGATTTACGAACGACTCGCATTCTTTCGCGGCGACGTCGTAATTTGCAAGGTTATCAGCTTAAGGCTACAACTGTATTCATGAACGAAGGTTCCGAAAATCACACCGATTTAGATGATACTCAGTAAGTTTATTTAAATGTTTATTGCACTTTGTAATATTTTTGATCATTTTCAGACACAAAAACATTGACATGGCATCGAAGGTATGTCTTTTGCTTGCCAAACATTGGGTTGAGTCTGTGAATGCGACAATGGTAACAGATGTTCAACGAACATGGGGCTACAAGGATCCCAAAACTGGTCAATTTTCGGGAATGGTAGGTCGATTACAGATGAAAGAAGCTGATATTGGAGGTAACATAACTACATATCTCGTATTTCTTAACATCAGTCTCTTTATTAAAAGAAAACTTAAACAAATAGCTAGCATGGTTTTCATAACGGCCGAGCGCATTCCAGTCATGGACTTTTTAACAATGGAATGGTCTACAGGTTTCGCATTTATTTTGCGATCACCTCCGACGTCATTCGTATCGAACATCTACTATCTTCCATTCAATGGCGTTGTTTGGATGTGTTCGATTATATTGGTCATCTTGTGTACATGTGTTATTGCTCTAATATTGAAATTTCGTTGTTTGCCTGTTGAAGAAACTGAAAACATGACAATATCAGATTTCTGTTTACTTGCAATTGCATCATCATGTCAAATGGGCTCACAAGTTTTTACCAAAATTCTATCAGCCAGAATTTCGATGGTAACCTCCTCATTTTCCAATTGACATCGATCATTATTTACCAACGTATGTTTTGTAGTTTTTCTTCTTGATAGCCCTTCTGTTTCTTTATACTTCCTATACGGCAAATATCGTTGCATTGCTCCAATCAACCACAAAATCGATTCGAGCAATCGGTGATTTACAAAATCCCGCATTTGATGTCGGAGTTGATGACACCCCCTACAATCGTTTCTATTTCAAGATTGAAAATGAACCAGTCCGCAAAAGGTTCTATCAAACAAAAATTGTGCCACCGAATGGACCGGATGCATTTATGAATATGACGTATGGCATAAGCCGAATGAGAGAGGGTATGTTTGCCTTTCACGCGGAAACAACACCGGCTTTCGCTGAAATTCAACGTACTTTTTTGGGCAAGTTTTCATTCTACGATTTGGTAGTTACAAAATGTGTGCAAAAATGTGAATCTAATTTAAATTTGTGGAAAAAAAATTTCAGAGCATGAAAAATGTGGTCTGGTTGAAATAAAGTTCTTTGATATGGGTGATGTTTGGTCTGCTATTCAAAAGCATTCACCATATAAGGAGATTTTGAAGGCCAAGTATGTTTTTTCAAGTAATTTCTTTAGTTTTTTTTTTCGCATAATATCTCGTTTTTGTTGATAAATGAAAAATAGTATGATGAAAATACGAGAGCATGGAATTCAAACCAGAGAAAGTTCACGGGTTCGTAAGGATCGACCAAAATGTGATTCGGATGGTAAAAACTTCGATAGCGTTCGATTGAATGATTGCTTATGGGCCATTCTTATATTCATTTATGGATGTTTTGCCGCACTCTTACTGTTTGGCCTGGAAAAAATTAGCGCAGCAATTGTTCGCCGCGTATAATAATACATGCACACACCGATAATACAATGACAAATAATAATACAGTACATGTTTTTCAATTATTGCTTTG